AGAAATGATATAAATGAAGGTTTTGTTATAAATACCAAGTGGCTTGTGGTCTACTAGTATCGGGTTGTTCCTCTAAGTGGGAGGTGAAAGGTTTGAACCTCAATTGAGACAAGTAGTGTGTATTTGTAGGGTTATCCCTCTTCTTTATAATAATAATAATAAAAAAAGGTTTTGTTATAAATATTATACTTATTATATGGATATTATTATATAGTATTGTAACGTTTGTAACGGTTATATAATTATTTTTATTATTGCTTCCGTTACGTTACCTAGTATGTATATAGAAAGAATGAATGATGGACGATCTTCTTTCATCTCTTATCTATTCTGGATATTCTTTCAACACGGACGGTTATTTCAAAAAAGAAGATTTATAATTTTGTTAAAATTAGATTACAAGTCACAAATTGGCATAACTTGTGCGCCTAGTTTGGCGTTGGTCACCAGCGAGTGATCACTCAACATTTTTTTAAAAATAATAAAAAATAAATTCTGATAAAAATTGTATTAAAAAAATTCACCATTAATCTTGTTTTAAGGATTTTTATTTTATTATAATTGTAACAATAATTGCCCATCAAATCATATGGCTATATTATAATTAAGATTTCAATTGTTTTTTTAGAGTTAAAAATGATTTTCAAGTGTTAACATTTACTTTCCTAATCTGGTTTGTCCTTCACTTTTGTGTTCTTTTCCCTTTGATATTTTATAAATAGTTTTCAGGAGTAGTTTTTCCTTTGATATCTGGTTTGGCATCATTTTTAATGCTATATTATTATTTTTTTTGCAAAATTCACTATTTCCATGTAATTATATGGGTAATGTATCATATTTTGTTGTATTGCACTAAACATTTTCTTCACTTGTTTCCTGTTATATATCATATGTTTTTCACTCATATAAAAAGTGTTTGCTAAACTTGCTAAATCTTAACTATATTACCAACATGTAATTAATACCAACATTTAACCATTAATATCAACATTTAATTTTCACAAGACTATATATATGGAACTTGCTAATTCTTAACTATAATACCAACATGTAATTAATACCAACATTTAACCATTAATATTAACATTTAATTTTCACAAGACCATATTGCTTTATTATAATTAACATATATCAATTTTTATTTTCTGTTATTTTTTTTTTTTTGAGTTCTAAATCCCTTGCATATATGTTTAATAATACTTAAATGATGCGAAGTAAATAGTGTTTGCTCTCTAAATTGATTAATAATGGAATGACAAAAATCTAAACCGGATATCAATTATATCAAGAAAATAAAAGTTATGAATGTAATATGAGAATTTAAAAAAAAACAAAAAAAAAAAAACAAAAGAAAAAGAAAAAAATAACTAAATGGAGTAGCGCTAAAATAATCTAAGGGAGTGTTGGTAAATAGTTGATAGTTGATAAATGTTAGCTTATTTGGTTAGTGGGTTTGATTAGTTGATAGTATTAGATGATTGTAGAAAGATATTTGGTAAATTAGCTGTTAACTGATAGTTGATTATAAGCAAAATAGTTTTTTCAAAAAGTTTATCGAAAAAGCTGCTCAAGCCGTCGAATTTTAGCGTTGAGTGGTTCATTGGTATCTGGTTTGATTGATCAAGCTACTAATTATATTCTTGGGATCTCTCTATTTTGATTGATATTTTTATTCCCAGCTATGTGGAACGTATCTCTAGGATAGATCCTCATTAACCCTGATGAGGATTTTTTGTATTGGCAAGGAGACCCAAGGAGTTACTATACAATGAAAAATGGATATAGACACATTGTTGGAGATTATGCTGGTAATCCCGGAGATTTTGATAAACGGTTACCCTTATGAAAAATTAAAGCCCCCCAAATGGAGATCTTTTTTGTGGAGCCCTAACTGATATTTTTCTCACTACTACGAACTTGATTTTAAAGAGAGTTGATGTGGATCCTCATACCCAATGTGTGGTCTTGTTCATAAGGACACAATGCATGCCTTCTTCTTGTGTGATTTTTCACAATTTGTTTAGCATGAATCCTCCATACGTATCTCTAATGTGGTTGGAAACACTTTTCCCATGTGGTTTAGAAATGCAATGAATATTCTGACGGAGGGAGACCTTGTTTTGGCTTGTGGCAATAATGTTGTATCACGTATGGAAGGCAAGAAATATAGTCGTATGGGAGAGATCTCTGTCGTTGCCAAGGAAAGTGTGGATGGTGGCAAAGTCTTCGGTGCGTGCATGGCAGCAGGTCCACTCCAGGAACGACGCTTCGACTGCGGAGGATGAGGTGGACGCATGTGTTGCCAGGTGTTTCTTTGATGCAGGTTACCATCCCTCAACCAAGAAAGCTTCGATCGCCACTGTTTTGGTCTCACCGGACGGTTCCTTCACGACAACGTTTATAAGTGGGCAGCTCCAAGACTGCTTCTCTCCCCTCATGATTGAATCGATGCTTCTCTCCCTTCATGGTTGACTCGCTGGCTTGTAAGGAGGCCAGGTGTTATCTTGGCTTAAAGATCGTGGTGTTTATCTGTGGAACTCCTAACTGACTGTTCCAACCTCTAGCATTACTTATCTTCCGCTCATGTAGATCTTTTTTCTTATGTTTGTTTTACTATTGATGCATGTAGGCCTATTATGTCTTCTTTTAGTCCCTAGATCGGCTAATCTAGGCGCTCATACTACCACTTTTTCACAAGCTAGCACTTTGTACTAGGACTTTGTCCCTCCTTACCTTATTTTTGCTTTGCTATAGTAATCTATCGTGTTTTTGTTGGCTTTCAAAAAAAGTTTAGACTACTATCCGCTGAAAGCATGACTAAACGTTGATTAATCGACCATTTGAACTACTCCGATGGGACACCTTTTTTTTTTGTTATGTGTAAATGCATTTGTCCAACACGATTAAAAGCTTAGTATAGTATAAATTTTCAACTTTTTTTTGATACATTATGTTTCTTAGCTTAGCCATACTACTAATCCTAAGTCTCCAAAATCCATGTTCAAGAATTATTGGAAGAGGTATGTCACGAGTCGCCTCGTCAGTCTCCAAATTCTCATCCCTTGCATATACACTTTGCACACAAATTTCAACCATTTTTAACAATCCAAGTTTCCGACTCTGTCAAACTTTCCATTAAAAGAAAAACTAAACGTTGATTAGTCTACCCCTTAAACTACTCCAATGGAACACCCTTTTTTGTTGTTGTGTGAAATTGCAAAGAATCCAAGTTTCCGACTCTGTCAAACTTTCCATTAAAAGAAAAACTAAACGTTGATTAGTCTACCCCTTAAACTACTCCAATGGAACACCCTTTTTTGTTGTTGTGTGAAATTGCAAAGATCTAAATAATCATTCTTCCAACTCAACTGAACATGAACCGCAGAGGCTAGACCTGTGCTCCAGCCACAAACTCGATCCCTGGTCATTCTTCTAAAGTTTCACCTCTATAACCAGTTGAGCTGCCCATTCGGGTAAAAAAAAAAATAGATCATTTAAATAGATGTGATTGATGCCAACTACTATGTAGTGTGATGATACATGTTACCATTCCAAATGGGTGTTCACAAGATCAAACATTGGTGGTGGTTGCATTGATTCTTTGAGCTAAAAAGATTAAGGAGGGTGTATTCAATCATGACTTTTGTAGAGTTTTAAAGACTTTTAAAATGATTGATTTTAATAAACTTTGATTGACTTTCATAGAGTCGTTCAAAACTTTTTAAAACTTTATAAGACTCTATAAAAGTCTATATAAATAACGTTCATAGACTTTTATCAATTTTTATTTTAAAAAGTCTACAAAAGTCATTGAAATTCTAAATTAAATATATCCATACAAACTTTCAATGATTTTGATTCTTAACATTTATAATTTTCTTACAAAATATTTATATCATAAAATTCTTCTTATTATATAGTTCTTCACCCAAATCTAATATTAATAATATATATATATATATATATATATATATATATATTATACTTGATATATTGCTAGGTATCACGCAAAGAACTATTATTTGCAATAGCAATTTGAGACAGTGAACAACATCAATGTGCTACTGTTTGCAACCCCAAATTGTTGTTGCGAACATACAGTAGTTCGCTATTCGTAGTAACATGTTGTTAAAAAAAATAATAAAAAATATATATTACGAATATAAACATAAAAAGAATAAAAATCAAAATATATACGTATTTATATGAATATTATGAAACATATACTAAAATTTGACGATGAAATATTTGCTTTGTTAATGTATTTAGGGAGAATTAGAGAAAGTTAGGGATAAAAAATTTATAGAAAAAATAAAAATCAATATAAACAAGCAATAATGAAGTAAAAATAATATTATTTCGAATTTTTAGAGGAAGATTGTAAAGCTTAGGAAAGAGAGATAAATTGGTAGAGTTTAGGTATGAGGAAAATATAGGATAATGAAGAAAAAAATAATTTTATTGAATTTAGATAGGTTTATAAAGTTTAAATATGGAGAAAAAATGGAGTTTAAATAGAGAAAAAAAACATTCAAAGTTGTCCGAAAGAAAATTTTGAAATCTTGGGGTTGATGGTTGAATTTCAACTATTTACATTTGAGAAGGAAAAGTCTACAAAAGTCCTAAAATTAAAAAGTCTATAAAAGTTCATAACTTTTTGAATACCACATGACTTTTAAAGACTCTTTAAAAGTCTTAATCGAATACCACATGACTTTTAAATACTCTCTAAAAGTTTGAATTGAAAACCTCCAAACTTTTAAAGTTCATAAAAGTCTTTAAAACTCTACGAAAGTCGTGATTGAATACACCTCCCTAAGCTCCTGTTTGATAACATAGTTAACAGTCAAAATATGAATGTTTGATTGATTATCTTTTTGTAACAACTTATTACTCCAAAATACTAAAATTTAAAAAATTGCTCAAACATCCTTAAGCTAACAACTATTCATCAAACATCCTTAAGTGTAGAAATACTACCTTACAAAATATAATGAGTATTAAAAAAAGAAATGAATGTGGTTGATGACTTTGATTTTTCTAATAATAATGGTCTAAATTAAAATTGCTGCAATAATTTGATTCTTCGTTTTCTACGGTTCTACCTAGCTAATAACTAAACCTCCGGCTGTAAAATTGGTTGCAAACATGGTGGTTTTCTCCACCTTAGCCAATTGCCCAACACTGGAACGCCAACCGATAATGCTATATGTAACGGAAGCCCCCTTCTTGATGCGTGTCCCATGCATGATGGCGCTACTCGAGATCTTAACCCCAGCCTCGATGACGCAGCCCGGCCCAATGGCGACATTCGGTCCGATCACGCATCCCTCTCCGATCTCCGCCGTCTCATCCACCACCACATCGCCCACGATGTGAGCGCCGGAGGCCAGTTTCTGCGGGCATCTCTTCCTCAAATCGTGCAAGTGGTTTACCAGCCCATTCATGTAATACTTTTGCTGGTCTATCATCAACCACGCGTCCAACCAAAACAACCCTTTCAGCCACACGCCGAACACTTTCCCGTCGGCTACAAGTCTGGGGAACACTTGTTTCTCAAGCCACGTCCGTTTCACCTCGATTATTCCGTCCAGAATTGAAGGGTTGAGCAGGTAAATCCCGGTGCTTATTCTCTTAAACATCTCGTTTCCGCTTTCTGGCTTCTCTACGAAACTCGTTACTTTCCCACTGGATTTTTCCAGGCCAATGGCAGCATATGGTAAAAGTTCGTCGTCCGGCTCAAAATTGTTCTATATCAATCAATGAATTTTTTTTTTTTTTAAATATGATTATATTAAATAAGTAAGCTAAGGGTGGACGTCTTTCAATTTTCAAAGCTCTCTTTGTTGTTCATGTTTTGTGATATTTTTAATCAAATGGTATATTTTTTTTAAAAAAAAAATAAATATTTTAAAAAGGTAAATATCAATAAAAGGAAAAATTATACTTTTTGTTCCTAAATTATAAAATAATTGTGAAATTTATCCCTAATTGTTAATCGTATTCACTTTTCGTCCCTAAAGGTGTATCCAAGATTTTCACCGTCGAACACAGTGACTAATCCCTTCTGAATTGTAGGCTGGCCTGGAGATATAAGGCTGTTCTATACCAAAGCCAAAGATCGAACCATTGACCTTTGATTAAGGATGTGTGAATCCCTTCCACTCAACCACATCCTCAGGTTATTGGTGTTGCACTTTTCGTCTCTTTACTAACAAAATATTATGGACGAAATTTGCAACGTTAATAAATGAACGAAAAGTGCAACGCTAATGATAGCTTAGGGACGAAAAGTGTACATGACCAACCATTAAGAACGAATTCTACAATTACTTTGTTTCAATAAAATGTATAACATATTTTTGGGTATATATATATATATATATGTCCAAACTAATCCAAAATAAACTTAAAATAATTTTATCCAAACAAAAGGGATCGAATATCGGGTCCAAAAACTGTAATCCAACAATTTTGAATATCTAACATAAGGCAAATTATGCTGTGCATCCGTATGCACCAAGCATGGTGCATACGGATGCAAAAATGACGTCGTTTTAATAAAACGCGCGTCTCCCCTTAAAAAAAAAAATCAGGTTCGATTCTTAGCAACAACACATGAACTAAAATTCCATAATCGATGAACTATAATTCCATAATCGATGAACTATAATTCCATAATCTAATCTATGAACTAAAAATTCCAGAATGAATGAACTAAAATTCCATAATCTATAAACTAAAATTTCAGAATCGATGAACTACAATTCCATAATCGATGAACTATAATTCCATAATCAATGAACTATAATTCCATAATCTATGAACTAAAATTACAGAATGAATGAACAATATAATGTTGTTGCTGGGAATCGAACCTGAAATTTTTTTAAAAGGGAGACACGCGTTTTTTAATAAAACGACGTCGTTTTGGCATCCGTATGCACCATGCATGGTGCATACGGATGCACAGCATAACTATCCCTAACATAACGTACATTTAGTATCACTTGAACCAAGCCCATGACGTCCACCCTTACTAATAATTAATAAATTCCGACCATCAAAATAAAATATAAATATAAATCCAAAAGTCAATGGGATATGTAGTTGGAGTTTTACCTTGGTTATCAGTATAGAAGCCTCTCCGGCATGGGATTTGTGAAATGTGATCATCTCTTTGAAAGGATATTCACAGAAAACATCACCATTTAGCACAAAAAATGGTTCCCCAGAACCATCTATCAGTTTGTCCCTAGCCAAAGCAAGGGGGCCAGCAGTCCCAAGTGGCTCGGTCTCTATTGAGAGTGAAATCTTGATTCTGAGCCTTGTTTCATGTTCTTTCAAGAAGTTCTGCATTACCTGCATATAAAGATCGATGCTTGTAGTATTATTAGTTTGTCCCCCCCATTTTATAGCATATTCATGATTTATTGGATGAAGCCATCTCTGACCTGTGCCTGGTAGTTCACAGCCACGATCACTTCAGTCACTCCAACAGCCTCAAGAGCCTCAATCTGACAGGAAAAAAGACTGGATTAGTTTATCAAAATGCATTATGTTAGGATCAAAGACTTTTCACTACGCCAAAAGTTATAACTCATAGCAAAGACACAACTTTATTTCCTTATAGACTGCCACATTTTCAAGAGACATGGTGTTGGACTTGACCCTTCACCGACCTCCGCCCAACAATCCCAGCCCCCTCCCAACACCTGCCAACCTTAACTACACAATTTTATTCTTGTTGAGACTCTACACCAACTGCTGGACTTGGCCCTTCACCGGCATCTGCCCAACAATTTCCCCTTCCAACAACGGCCAGTCTTAACTGCACCGGCTCTAATTCCACGTGTTAGAATCTAGCATTTACCACTACGTCAAAACCTATAGCTCATAGCGAATGAGCAACTTTATTTCCTTATAGACAGCTCACATTTTTGAGAGGCCCCTTCACTAACCTACGGCCAACAATCTCCTTAGTCACCAATTGCTGGACTTGACCCTTCATCACCCTCCGCCCAACACATTATATTTGGAAACAGGAAAATCAAAACAACTCGGATGGTTTCGTGATCAGAAATTAGAAAGCTTTTAAGGGTGGATGACTGAAGATGGATAATGTGCAACAACATAAGCACGAAAGTACCTGATACAAAATAATAGGTTTACTTGCAAATTCAATGAGTGGTTTTGGGATGGTGAAAGTGAGTGATGGTTGCATCCGAGCGCTATATCCTCCAAGAATGAGTGCCTTCATACTCAGATTTATGCTTCTGTTGATTAAAAAAAAAACCAGTCAGAAGTTCGGTAGCATATAATAAGATTTGTATAAGGAATCACATACAAATTGCATTTCAAACTGGGCTCTCTTCATTCTATATTTATACTAAAAAAAAACAAAGCAATTAAGCTGCACAATTAAGGAACCCTGCAATGACATATACAGCTTGCTCTCATTTCTATCAGCAAGTATATCCATCATCCATTGACACAAATACAGAGTAGGGGTAACCCTAACCAGAATAGCTAGGATATAGACTTGTAACCACAAGGTTACGAGTTCGAATTCCAGCCTTCTTGGTATAAGCGGGCAATCTAGACTTCCGTGTGGTACTTTGTAGACAAGGGGCCCCGTACACACCTTCAAGTAGTGGCTAAGGGTTTCTCTCATCACCCCAAAAAAAAAATGCAGAGTAGCATGAAGTTTTGGGTGAAACAGAAAGAGCCACAAAGTACAGCGAAGAAACGGCCAATGAGCCAAATGCATACATTATCTAGACAAGGAAACAAATTCCAGCTAAAATGCAGAACAATCTTGTTTAAAATAGAGACAAGAGATTACATGGAATCATGTATCAACAGGAGAAAAACATCAAAACTCAATTGCAAGATGTAGCAGAAGTTTTCTAGTACTATTAGATACCAAATGCATTGAAATGCCTCTTGAAAAACTATACAGATTTTTAAAAAGTGTTCTTATTATCCATCACCCTCTCCTACAATCCATCATTGCCTATAAAAGCAAGGCAGTACAAGGTTTCCCTCTGCTAAATCTTTTTCAAGTAATTTAGCAATAAGAATGACAGTTAAGAAACCTTCAGGATCCATACCATACGCACGCTATTAGCAGGTTCTTTGCTTCACTCTCAACTGTATGAGAAATTTATATCTCTCATCATATATGCAGTAATAGAAACAACAAAATCAAGTGTTCTTAATATATATAACTATCAAGAGACTACATAGGGCAAAATTGTTTACACCGGAAGAAGAAACAAAAGATTTACAGGGCCTCAAAGTTAAAGATCAGAACAAATTCATTCATCAGGGTGGTTGTTTGTAGTATTCAATTTTGGTAATCTACGTAAAATCTCGAGAAAAGCCACGGCTGTAACGAAAGCAAGATGCATCATTTCCTAAAGAAACAAAATCAAAAGGAGAAACACAAATTGAATTGATGATGATCCTACGAAACCCAAAAAAAAAAACCCGAAATGCTCCATGTTTGTGACGATTACTCGATTAAAATTTAGTTAGAAAATAATTTCCATAGATGAGAGAAATGAGAAGATGAATTCACCTCCGTTACGTACAGCCGTACAGGTCTAGCCGAGTCTGGAGTTTTTCCTTCGCTCACAAGAAATTCCACGCGACGGCTTCGGGTGTTGTCAGAGAGTGTGTGAGCGCTTATGTGTGATTGTCACGTTTATATATATAATTTCATAAGACTTAATTTCACCAGAGGTCTTTTGTCCTTGATTACAATTTTAAATTTAGTTGCACATTATTGTTTTTGTCATTTTATATTTCATATTATCATTTTTTGGACTCTATTAGTCTTTCTTATGACTTTTTCTATTTTTAGTAAGGACATTTTATCTCTTCATATTTTTCTTTTGTTATTTTTTCAATTTTAACCGGTTTAATTTGTTTAGAACTTTAGGTAACCTCTACTTTTTATAACCATATTTTTCAACTAATTTTTACTAAAGTTCTAAACTAATTAAACCGGTTGAAACCAAAAAAATAACAAAAGAAAAATATGAAGAGATAAAAATGTCATTACTAAAAATAGAAAAATTCATAAGAATGATTAAAAGTGTCTAAAAAATCATAATCTGGGATGTAAAATGACAGAAACGATAATTTGAGACTAATTTGGAATTGACATCAAAGACAGGAGACCTCTGGTAGAATTAACTCATTTCAGAATAAGTAGACTTTTACGGTATCATTTCAAAAAACAAAAAGAAAATTTTTTACAGTATTAATGTTATTGAGTTAATTTTTTATTATTTTTTTTACTATTGTCAGAATTAATCATATTTTTCTTATTATACGGAGTATCTTGTTTTCTCCTTTTGAGTTATAATAAATCCCTTGCATATATGTTTAATAATACTTAAATGATGAAATTAAATAGTGTTTTCTCTCTAAATTAATTAATAATGGAATGATAAAAATCTAAACCTGATATAAATTATATCAAGAAAATAAAAGTTATGAATGTAATATGAGAAAAGAAATAGAACTAATGGAGTAGGGAAAAGAATCTAACTGGTGTTTGGTAAATAGTTGATAATTGATAACTATTAGCTTATTTGGTTAGACTTGATAACATTAGCTGGTTGTAGAAAGATATTTGGTAAATTAACTGTTAGATGATAGCAGATTACATGCAAAATGACTTTCTCAAAAAGTTGCTCAAGATGTTGAATTTTATTGTTTTAGAACTTACAAAAAGCTAATTAATCAAACACTTATATTGACTATTTAATCAAGTCTAACAACTAATAGTTGATAGGCTAACCACGTACCAAACAATAACTAATAAACCAAAATTAGTTGATAGGCTAACCACGTTACCAAACAGGGTCTAAATCTGATTGTATTAGGCCATCCTCAATAGTGTGAAGATTTTGAGGAGATTTTACAGATTACATGTGTGATTAGGAAAGAGAAAAAAAAAAAAAAAAAAGAGAAAAAAAAAACTAAAATCTAAAAACAAAAATAATAAAAAAAAATTAATTAGGCACGCATGAGGCGCAACTCTCTCCTCAAACATTGGGCCCCACAAATCTGCAAAATCCCCACGTCTTGCTGGAAGCACCTACTTACTCTCTCTCCCCTCTCTCTCTCTCTTCCAACAAAGCATCATTTTCTTAAAAAACGTGAAAGAACCCCTTAATGGGGATGCCCTTAGAAGTATTGATATTAGTATTAATTTTTTTGCAATAAAAAATAGTATAAATTTTTTCTTTTAAAGTGTCAATTGTACCAAGTGTGTGCATATATATATATATATATATATATATATATATATATATATATATAGGATTAAATGAGAACTATATCTTAAGTGTGAACCTACGAACCTGCATGAATGCATACAATTTATTTCGATGGTAGATTGTGTGCATTATGCACCTGGAGTATTAGATTGTATGCATGCGTGAAATAAATTGTATGCATTCATGCTGTAATTTGTAGGCTCTCACCTTCACCTAAAGGCTAATTCTCATTTTGAACACAAGTCTATATATATATATTCTACTCTATAATGACACTCAGCTAAACACTGTCTCTAGAAAACCTAAAGACCATTTGCAAATACATTTTCTTATGTGTATAAATTAATGAGAATATATGCACAGCAGGAGGCAGGAGCAGGCTGCAAACTGCAAAATCATCTATTTCCATACAACCAAAATGTGTTTCTTTGAGGTGCTCCTAAGAAAAGATGCTTACTCACTGAACCTTGGCTATGAAATTAATGAATACAAGCTTACATGTAAATCTGCACAAGCTACTGTATTCACAACCACATATATATAACTAAACCACTAACCTAACAAAATTGTTCCCCATCATTGAGACAGGCATTCAAGCAGGCGATTCAGCTAGTACAAGGGTGTGCCACCATCCACATGACACGTTTTTTGGAGTGCCGCCATTGATTAATACTTGGGCAGGAATATTGCGGTCTATTACATCGCCCAAACCAAGCTGCACAGCATGCACAAATTAACTTCAGTTTTAGATTAGACGTTTGGAAGCAATACTAGTTTGCAAACTCGTGGCGATGTGGTTCTATGAAATAATCGGAAAATCTAGTAAAGCGTAAATCCATAGGGAGGCAATAATAGAGAAAGTTCACTTCAAATCTAAATATATTACCTGGCCGTACTTATTCCAACCCCAGCAAAACACTTTGCCATCCTCTTCAGAAGCAGACCAAAGAAAAGAAAAGTAAGAGAAAGTTGTTAGACATATTTTTGTATAAATACATGTATGTACAAACAAGTCAATTATTACAGACAATAAATTCTTAAGTGGAAAATTAGTCAAACTGAAAATTCCTCATTAGACTATGTGAATATAATTTTTAACCACAACTTCCCCCAAAAGGTTGAATCCCCAACCCCAAGTGCCCCCCACACCCCGGCCTAATACAACAGATGTAAATAACAATAACTCAGTGGCTCAATAGATAGGGCCAAATGCCGGTGCGCACAAGGAATCTGTCCATTTTGGGCATATTCCCCCGCTGCCAAGTTTCGAACCATTTTTAACCACAACCAAAACAAGAGACTCTGGCACTTTGTTGACCTGCAGTTCATGGCTATTCAAATATGCTTTAACACTTTTGGATTTCCTTTGCTGACCAATGGTTCACAATTTTCATTTATTTCACTATACTTGGATTTTCTTACACTAATAAGATGCACAGGAAGTTTTCAATCATCTCCATGATAGCAACAACAAAGCACATAATTAGTCCCTGTCTATCACCTAGAATGGGTTTTACAGCAAAGCAGCTTATCATATAAATGTTATTTTGAATCTAAAAGAACATTCACGGATGTTTGATGCTTGAAACATTCAGTTTTAAGGTTTTGCACAAAGCAACATTTAGCTAGTACACACCATACCTGTAACTATAGTACTGTGGCGTGCTCCGCATGATACAACTTTTGCATTCACATTTTCCAAATTTGGAGCATCAAGAAGCCGGGGGAGAGTCTGCAGTAGAGATCAAGAAGAGGCAACTTTTAGTTGGACTTAATCCTTGGTGCTTTTGCTGAAATAGAGGGCTTAAAAAATTATACATTCCATATCCATTCCCAATTAAAGATATATATGATATAATGGTTGCTAAAAGTTTTGAAAAGTAAATTGCTTTCATTAAATCTGTCTAAATGAGATGACAAGAACATAAGTTCAGCATATACCTCAGCTTGATCGCCTCCAGTTCCCAACTGCCCAAATTGGTTGCCACCAAATGCATATACATCACCATCTGCAGAAATGCTTACTGTGTGCCAGAGTCCTGCAGAAATACCTTCTATTTTGATGCCAAGTAACGAAGATACACAAGTAGGACTTAGCTCATCATCAGTACTTCCTTGGCCGCACTACAGATATGGCAAGATTATTGTGTTTAGTTTGATTTGAATAGCACTGTGGCAACAAGGAAGTTGCAAAAGCGTGACCTTAAAAGTATATTAATCAAATATCTAACTGGTTTTTGACATTTGTATTACTCACAATCTTAGTAAATGATTCTCAAAATGCATTTAAGCTATAGTACTTGTAATAAATAATAGCTGCTTTTATTGAACTATTGATTTCTTTATCCAAAGTCCTCAAACATGAAATTATTTTGAAAAAATCTTTACTTGATTTCAAAATGAGAAGTACACACAACAAAGTCAAAGAGGTTGACAGCTCAATTAATAATTTCATCATCATTGTTATAGAATTGTCATCAGGAATGTTTTAGACTTGGAAAGATCAGGGAGTGTAAATATCCTGCCAGCTTTCATCACTAGCAAGGAAAATACTTTAGATTTGCAGAGATGAAAAACAAGAACACCACATGAAAAACCCTTTCCCTGGCTGCTTGTTTGGGTTGGTCAAAGTTGAAAGACAACTGTTAACCCAATTATATGAGCATTTCAATTATATAGGGCAGATCTTCATATGCCCCCTAACAAATTTTAGAACCCTCTAACTTACAGCTAAAATTACACATGCTTCCCAGAGTAAAAATGCATCATATTATGAGACTTGTTTGATTAAGTAATCTCTCTAAAGAGACTAACCTGTCCATAGAGTCCCCAACCAAAAGTAAGTAGTGCCCCAGCATCTGTTCACATTGACAGAAAATAGTTGTACTGAAGCAACAGAATACCAATACAACAGCCATTCAATGATAAACATAATAGACAATTTCAATGAAAGGAAATAAGAAGAAATTCACAAAAAGAACGCCATGAGATGATGAGAAGATCTAGTTATTTCTAAACTTTAGATTACACTTGCTTGCACATTACAGCATACCTGTAACTACAGCACTATGGCGGCCTCCACAAGCAATTCTTTTCACATAACTCCCTGGAACTCGAAGGCCTTGTCCTTCTAAACCCATGCTTCCATGAGAAACGCCAATTCCTCTATCCTTTACCAAGGGAGAAGACTCAATGCAAGGAATAGGATGTGGAGAGGACACCATGCGAATCCGAGAACCCAAACCAAGCTGCCCTTCACCTCCATAACCCCAACCCCAAACTTGTCCCATATCTGGAACTTCGGTGAAAAAGGAATGTCAAGCGTCTTCCTTTCAATAGTTTGAAAGTATGGGTTTCTTTAAAATTGTTGTGAAACTAAACATTATTTATGACAAGAGAAAGTGACTTCAGCTCAGACATATTGAATTACCTGACAGCACTAGTGTGTGCCTGCCACCAGCTGCTACACTAACAATTTTAACTCCTGGGTTCAATGTGACCAAACAAGGCAACGCTGACAGACTTTCATCAGATGACGGTGAGCCCTCTGCAGTTTGTTTAGAAGATGACAAGCGTCTTCTTTTTGCACCATCATCTCCCCTAACCCCTCCACTTTCAAAACCAGACATATTACCACCAGTTGATCTTGACCCCTGGGAGCGAGGGCTTACTGTGATAAAGTTAATTTTCAGCATATTACATTGTAAAAAGTAAACAGGACACTTTCTGCCTTGGAGATATTCAATTCAATCAAAGTACCTTGGTCTGTGAATGTAGTAGTCTGCTTCTCAATTACATCCTTCTTTACGTTTAGTCCCATAGATGGCTCTCCATAAACCTGGCCAGAAGGGACACACTCTTTCCACCCCCATGTATAAACTTCTCCATTCTCTGCATTTGAAGTTGCTCTATGTCAGCCCCAGGACAGGGGAAAATGAGGCTCAATAAATGAGACCAGATAAACATTCAGTAGGCACTGTGTACAAAGCTGAGAGGATGTATCTTTAATTAATTAAATCTGCTAATTAGGTCAATCTATAGAGACTACAAATCATAGTAGAAAGTTCTCAGCATCCAACTAAAATTTAGAGAAGTGGGCAGTGACTTTAAGCATTTAAATCATTGTCACTGTCAATTTCATTGGCAAGATGAAGGAACTAATGGGAGTACCTGTAACAGCAACACAATGTGCCCAACCTGCAGCAGCTTTTATAACTGAAACTTCATTGGGAAGGGGAAAAGGCTCTGGCATTTCCTTGCATAGCCAATTGAAACTAAATCCAGTTAATTTAACATAATTAATGAAGTAAGATATCAAAAGTAAACCAAAATACTGCCTTACTCCATGTTTCCCCGATGTCACGTAGCTTTGACCTAAATCATCCGTAGAACCCCAAGTAATAAGCTTCCCATAGTCTAAAAAACACATTTATGAACTGCATAAGTACATCTTATAGAGGAATACAGAAGCACTTAGGTACCTTATAATTACCTAACTGCCGAACACCATTTACAACAATGTTGCAAGTGAAACATCCATTGCATCATTTTATACCCAAAAACAAAAAATAGTACAAGTATTCATCAATAACTTCTTTAAAAAGTAATAAGGGCATATGCTTAGTTTGCAGAACGAGTCAACCATCGAGAACTAGGATACAGATTATAACGAGTAAATATATATATATATATATATATATATATATATATATATATATATATAACATTAAAGCTGCGAAGGTCGCATTTTGTTTACCATTTTAGGGTTTACATGATTCAAGTACTGAAGAAATGATATTAATTAATTAACTAAAGTGCATTCCAAGCTCTCCGGTTGGATTTTCAACTCCGAAAGTAAAGTAAACCGATGGATTCCACAACAAAATAAAAATAAATAAATAAAAAACTAGCCTAAATTTCAGGGAAGCGCTGCTCAAACATTACAGAAACACATCTTCTCCCAGAAAATACGGTTGAAAAATGTAGTCGAAAATGTGGGAGATTGGTAAGTGTTTTATCCCCAATGAAAAAAAAAGAATTAAAAATATAAGGGAGAAATGCTACCTGAAATTGCCATAGCAAAACCGCAACCACCGCCGCAAACATCTCTCCAGAACCTTCCGGCACCAATAGTCGGCGGAAGACTCACCGCCACGGGCGACAACAGCGGCGAGCGCTGCGGCAAAGCCCCCGGCAAATATCCCCACATATACACTACTCTCTCCATGTCCACACTCCCTCCACTTTCACCTCCACCATTTCCATTCATTCCGAGAAAAAAAATCTCGAAATAAAATACAGAAAAATTAAAACCCCCAAAAAATTTTATAAAAAAAAAAAAAAAAAAAAAAATCACTCTTTGAAAGTAGTTGGAAGGAGAGGTTTTTGTAATTTTGTGTATTGAGAGTGCGTTTGGTGCGAAAATTCAGAAAAATAGTAACCGGTGGAGTATCAATTTCGGGCGAATGAGGGTGCCACGCGGGATGCTGACGTGGTCGTGATGTGACGTGGCTCGTCTCTGTCCATTCGATGGCTCGGAGGTTTACAGCCAGTAGTTGGGGAGAAGCTTCTGGAAGGTCGGCCTCTCAGCAGCGAGACTTTCCTCGGACAAATCGACACGTGTCCTCCGCCGGTCCTCCCCAATCATTTCTCGTGGCCCGTTTTGTCACTACATACATCCATGTCAAGTGTCAACTCATGCTCCAATCGCTCATAATCTCATATACATGATGAGATGGGAAAGAAATTAGATAGAAAAAAACAAAAAGCTATATTGTTTTGCCACACAATTATTCATGATTTGTTGTTTTGGTTATTTATTTATAAAAGTTGAAGGTGTATATCTTCTAACGATATACATTGCATAAACTTCATTCATGTATAATAGTCAAGAAATCTTATATGAAATGTAAATTGTACTAAAAAGACATTGCATAAGTCATAACTGAGCACAACCTTGTGCTCAAATAACTCCCTTTGAGGGAAGGTCACAGGATCTGTAGTTAGAGAAAGTATAGAACAGATACTATCTTGTAATAGAGAGTAGTTTTTTCATGGATTTTTGGATGACATGGAGGTGAAAGATGATGATTTGGATGAGAGATAAGAAATTTAATTTGCAGGAGAATTGGTTTATTTGTAAGACCCAAGTGGAGAAATAAAATTTTGGCCCTGTTTGGTAAAAAATTGGCCTATAGGCCAATTTTGGCTTATTTGACTATTATTAATTGTTTAATTTAGTTAAAATATCAAGAGTAAATACCCAAAATGGTCCCTCGACTATAGCTAAATTCACAATTTGGTCCTCGACTTTCAATTTCAACCAATTAAGTCCTTAACTTTGTAATTTTAACACAATTTGGTCCCCTGTCTATTTGACCGTTTGTTGACTGTGATTTTTGAGGATATATATGTAATTTCATGGTCCATCGTCGGTTTTTTAAGGTTCCGGTTGAATTTCCAGACCGCACTGTTACATTTGAATACACTACCGAAAGCAATCTACCAAATCCGGTCGCCTTTCTTCATCCCCCTTTGGATTCAATGTAGTTGAGTTCGTACCAGAGCGAAGAAGACGACGTGTTTCCGAACCAGTGCAACGTCATCCTAGAGGCCTCCACGTGCTCCGACGAAAGCTGAAGGTTCTTCTGGAGATCGTTGATCACGGTCAACAAACGGTCAAATAGATGGAGGACCAAATCGTGTCAAAATTACAAAGTTAAGGACTTAATTGGTTGAAATTAAAAGTCGAGGACCAATTTGTGAATTTAGCTATAGTCGAGGGACCATTTTGGGTATTTACTCAAATATCAATATAAATATTTGGTTAATTAGCTTTTTGCAACTCAAAAAGACTAAAATTCAAAATGCTACTCCAAATAACTTTTTCAATTAGCTTTTTGAGAAAAGAAATTATACCAAACATCTATCAGCTAACAACTAATTTACCAAATATTTTTCTACAATCCTAATGTTATAAACTATTTATACCCTCTAATTAACACAATCAGCTAACAACTAACAGCTATCAGCTAACAGTCATTTTACCAAACAGGGCCTTTAACAACTCTGAAGGCCTGCGCGTTGAGCGCACACGGCGCGCCAGCTAGAGGGCGCGTAAATCCTCTTTTTTTCACTTCTTTTCTTTGTCTGACAGTGTTGTAGTTTTTTTTTTCTTCGTTTCCTCCTATTTTCTCTTTCCTTCCTCTCTCTTCTATTTGGCTTCTAAAAAATTGCACAAAAACCAATTTGATGTGGATGCTCTAACGAGTTCAACTATTGAACTCTGAAAATGTTTTTTTTTTTTTAATCTACAAGTTTGTTGTTTTTTTATTTTATTTTATTTTTTATTTTTATTTTTTGGGGTAATAGAAAGGTAAGATGGTGTTTGTTGGCCACACTATTGAAAATCCTTGAACTTATAGTTAGAATCGAAGCAATAATTGTACGCAAGAAATGATGTTAAATATTTTGTATTGAAGTGTTGAAATTTGATCAGTATCTCAGTTATCTTTTTTCTATAATACAAGAGAAGATGTGGTAACTTCTGCTAATGTGGAAACCACTACCTTAAAACTAATTTAATAACCATTTTACATAAAAATTGAATGAGGGATCTTAATTCCATAGCTAAATTTTCCATCAACATTAATGTTTAGATTTATTTGCTATAAATTTTTTATTTAATATAATGCATTGTGATTTATTAGAAAGTTATTCAATTATAGAGTACAGTGTAAGAAAATATTTGTGGTAAATATTTATGCGCAATTTGTGCTGTAGTGACGAAGCAAAATATAAATTTGAGAATTTCAAAAAAAAAAAAAAAAAAAAAAAAGAACAAATAAATAACAACCAATAAAAAGGCATGACGTGGGAATGACTGCATAAATAGGCAATTTATATAATGGACCAAGGTCCACGTAGCATTATGGACCTTATATCAAAATAATGAGGTACAAAACTCATATTCATAAAGTACAGAATTCTATAACACAAGACACAAAAATCACAACACAAGATACATACACACATAATATATTTACTTATTTTTCAAATATGATTTAAGTAAATAATTTGTGTTCATAAGCACAAAATTTCACAACATAAGATACAAAAATTTATAACATAAGACACAATTACTAATTTGTTTTAGGTACATAATTCAATAATAAAAGACACAAAAACTCACAACATAAGACACATACACATGCATTAGGGTCCACGGTGCATTGTTAACTCTAATCCATTATTGGCATAAATATGAGTGGACCTCATGCAACACCAATCGTTATGCCATGGAATCGTGTTTACCATGGATGGTGAACACGGTCCCAACGGTAATGGTGTACCGTTATCTTTTTTTTTTTTTTTTTTTAACCGCGCGACTTTTCTTCTTTATTTTCACATTTCGCGGTTTCACTTTCTCTTCGCACAAGTTTCTTCAACATTCATAAATTATGAATATGCAGGCATGTATTTATGAATGTACAGTTATGAAATTATGAATTTTCTTTTATGAGATTATGAATTTTCTGTTATGAAATTATTATGAATTTTCTGTTATTAGATTATGAATTTACAGAAAATTCATAATTACATAACTGTAAATTCATAATCTCATAACAGAAAATTCATAATTTAATAAATGTTTTTCTTTTATGCGATTATGAATTTTCTGTTATGAGATTATGAATTTACAGTACATTCATAATCTCATAACAAAAAATTCATAATCTGAACAAACGCGCGCCGTTAACATCACATTAACTAAATATTTTTTTCTCGTAAAAATGACACTGTTTGGACCCTTGTTCACCATGAATAGTGAACAAGTTTCCAGGGCATAATTTGCGATGCAACGCTATGTGGGTCAAAATGGGTTGACAAAAAAGTTTTTGAAAAGTCCAAAATCAACTAAAAGACAAATTCAATGATCCTTATACTGTATTAAAAAAAAAAAGATTCATGTAGTAAAATGAACTCTAAATACATATTTATTTTTAGTGCAATATATATTTATTTTAACTTGTAATACAAAAAAAAAAAAAAAAAAAAATCTTTTACAACGCGGACCTGATATGATTTGCCCGAACCGAACTCCACTAGTGAGACAAAGTGGGATAGTTATGCTGTGGGCTCGTGCCCAGCGTGCTTCACAGCTTCGTTATTTTTTTTTTTTTAATTTAATTTCAGACCGCTTCGTTATAGGAGCATATATTCACAGCTTTGTGTTCATAATTTCATAACTGTACATTTATAATTCCATAACTGTACATTCATAACTCTATAACTGTACATTCATAATTCAATAACTGTAAATTCATAATTTTCGAAGCTCTATGTTCATAATTGTAAGTTCATAATGTCAGAGTTCTATGTTCATAATTCCATAACTGTACATTCATAATTCCATAACTGTACATTCATAATTCCATAACTGTACATTCATAATTCCATACTGTATATTCATAATTCCATACCGAACATTCATAATTTTCGAAGCTCTATGTTCATAATTGTAAGTTCATAATTCCATAACTATACATTCATAATTCTATAACTGTACATTCATAATGTCATAACTGTATATTCATAATTTCATAACGAATATGCCGTTAACGCCGTTAACGGCGTTTCGAACAATTTTTTTTTATAATTAAAACAGCGTCGTTTTCACGGAAAACGACGCCGTTTTAGCGCCGTGCGCACCTTGCAAGGTGCGCATAGCATAATTTGCCGACAAAGTGGGGGCAAGTGGTGTGGTGCTCCTCCAAGTCTTTTTTGTTAATCATTTGAGTTGATGGTCCTCTGGACATTTTTGGGGTTAAATCATTGTATATATGGGGGCCCAAACATCATTTTTGGAAACCTCTCACCCTTATTGGGTGTCAAATTATTATGTGGATCCAGATCCACCATTCAAGGTAAATTCGAATTCAAAAATACATAATTTATATACTGAATATTCACAATTTATATACATAATTTACATACTAAATGTTTACAATTCAGTATATACCCGGGTCATCTTGGTATTAATGCTGCTTATTTGGGGGTCCAAGGTCAGGAGAGCACCACTAATTGAAGAAGTGAAAAGCAATAGTTAGAAGAGGTAAGGCCTTGTAGTACTATATATATATATATTACAATTACAATTACAATTAAAGAATCACCTCATTGGACAGTTAGTATATTTTGCTCTCCAAACTATATCTAAAATGTGTATTTAATCAAGAGAATACGGTAAGCATTCTATTCTCATGATAATTTGGTATTAGCCCGCCCATCCCACACACTATTAAACTGCATATCATATCCTTCACTCCAGGGAGGCATGCTCATCCAGTAAGTCCTCCCTCCGGCCTCAGCCTATCTGTCAGCCTTGTCAAGTAGACTCAATGAGTTGCTTCAGGGTAGAGTAATGGGGGTTCGATGCCAAGTTTCCCTGTAAGCCATTTTGTAATATCATGAGCAGAGAGAGAGAGAGAGAGATTAACATCCTACATGTTGTGTCTGTCAGGGACATATCACATATGATAGATACATGCAACACTCTGCATCAGTGTTAGTGTTATCGACTATCCGAGTTTAATAAAAGCCATTCATGATTAGTAGAACACAGAATGTCTAAAACCATTACTTCTCATCTAACCCCACTTAAGAGTGTCTAAAACATGGATGCAAAAACAATTCACAGTCCATACGCCTAACCTCACACAACATAAAATCACAAGAAATGTTTCTACATAAGTTTAAACTAATATATAATATATGGACAAAACCATTAGTGCAGTAGTTTTCAAATAGATAGCTCATCACAAGGCCAGCCAGCCAGCCAGCCAGCCAGCCAGCCAGCCAGCCAGCGTTCATTGCAATTACAAGATTACATCCGCCTCCGCAAACACCTCATATTAGGATTAAATGGTTCTGCTGCAGCACCATCGGGTACTAAGTCTACCCCAAAGATGCTGCTGCTACTCCTCTTCCTGCTAGAGATTAGACTTGCCTTTTCGTCGATTGATGCAACTGTTTCCAACAGCTCAGACAACAGTGAGGGGCAGCTCTCTTCCAAGTGCTTGAACCCTTCAGACTGCATAACAACTGTTGATTAAGAGTTCAAGATTTTAGTGACATGTACAAAAATATATAGAGAAAGCAACTCACTCCACAATATCTTGTACTAGAAAATCAAATGCCATTTGTTCCAACCAATAAAATAAAAAGTTGATTTGCAGAAGAGAAGAGTCAATTTCATATAACGTCAGGTTATCTTTCAGTTGTTAGAGTAACTGTAGTTCTGAAAATCTGGAGTAATCAAGATTTGGCTTATTTTTTAGTATATTCTGGATATGCTTTGTCAAAATTTGTAAATAAACTTAATCAAATTTTGTTAAAAGTGGAAAATACCAATTAACCATTCACACAATGTATCTTCCAACTACACGCACCTCCCAAGTTTGTAGCTGCAAATTTCAAACATATGGTCTTAAGCTGGAGGCATCGATGTTGATCAGCTAGTGAAAGAGTCGTTGCCACCGTATCGACAGTTACTTCTTCACACAATTTTGCCTCACATAATTGTTTCAGTCTATCTAAACCAAACCGGTCAGCTGCAGCCAATAAATGTTGCATCATGATTGTTGAAGTGCACGTTGAGGTTGAGCCAATAATTTCATGTAAATTTGGAAGCTGATCGGTGTAAAGAAATTGAAGCATAGCCTACAAATGTTAAGACAATTCCACCAGTCATTTTACTAGGTATGAGAAACTGTTATATGTTTGCAGAGAATATGCATCTATTGGATTAAATGAAAGACAGTACAGATATCAAGCAAAGAAATGTAACTGCATGGGATAGTAAAATCAAACTATTGAGTAACAGGAGAAATTAAAATATTTTAGGAACGGATATAATTACCTTAAATATTGATGGTTCAATATCCTCAAGTTCTACTTTATCTGTATTAGGATTTCCAATGAGGCCAAAGAACTGGGCTTTGAACACGGGAGAACGAGCAGCAAGGATTAACTTGTGAGCCTTAAATGTCTCTTCTCCAACCTGGAAAACTATATCACTGCCAACTTCAGAATCTAGCAAGTACTTGAGATTTAGGCCCATGTCCGAGGCGGGAATAGAAATGCTATATTGTTTTGGCCCTTCAACCCGAGTTCTGACAACTCCTACAGTACAATGCATTGAGAGGCAATCATCCTTAATATAGTCAGAGGCTTCTAAATTTGCTCGCTTGAAAAATCTCTTGTAACCCCTGAAATTCAAGGAAGAAGATAAGTGTTGCAAGTTCTTGCAATGTCCTTTCTATTCTTATTCCTATGTAAGAAAGAGTGAATGCATGAAAACACCATAATATGCGTGGAAAAAGTTAGCCTTTCATATTGTGGAGGCTTTTTCAATTTAAAGAAGGTAGGCCATACTCAATTACAGCAGCTAGAAAGTAAGAGAAAATTGTTAATTCCAATACCAGAAATATCGTGATACTTTAATCCAGAAAATATGATCCAGTGGCGTTGGGTATTTAAAATGCATGTAGCTACTGCAGGAAATCCAGAATTAGTTCCCTAATCTCAGATTGAATAATTTCAGGTCTGATAGGAATATAGGATACAGTTAAATTATTGTCAATAAGAATTCCTAGAAATTTTAGGAGTAACTGTAGATATTAGTTTGTTTCCTAATTTAGAGTAACTCTTCCCTTATAATGTGAGGCCACAATTTTTTATGGTCTCATAGCAAAGCCTTCTCCAATTCCTCCAACAGCCTGATCCACAACTACTTTTTTTATATTTTACCATGTCAGAAGTTGCTTCACAATCCCCCATTCAGCTCCATTCAGCTCAATGGAGACACTACTCTCAAGCAGTTCATATACATTCTGTATATAAGGCATCATTGTCTATTAAACATGAGACATCCTGGAGCCAGACAACGACTATGCACATACAACTTGGGAATTGGGATGCAGAATACTCCATGGTTATGTTGAAGGTATCAGTTCCAATTATTTGCCTGTGATGTTCTACAACAAAAGAACTCTTATCCTAGCTGTATTCTGCTTGATATGGGAAGTCAATCCTAAGTGCATGATCCTAGCATGAAATAGACTAGGTCACAATTCTCTCACCAAGTACTTCAGCTCCCTCAAGCAAATCTAGCAAGACTTGGACCCATTCAATGTTCATGGCTGGAAATGCCCAAAAGACAATACTTGATACATGACTATTTTGGATACCAGTCAAGTTTTCAGACTCCTTGCTGGACTCAACTTGGAGTTTGCTGAGCTATGCTGTACGATTATTGGCAGAAGCCCACTACACTCAATCAATGCCGTTATTTCAGAGGTAGGGACATAGAAAATATATGAAGCCAAGCAAGACTAAAACAGTGACAACTAAAGTGACTAAAGACTCAACTTTAGTCACTGCTAAAGCTCATGTTGGTGGTTGCAATACTGATGACAAGCCTCAAGTATCATTTGACCATTATAGTAAGCCACATCACACTCAAGATACCAGCTAGCAAATTCATGGAAAGCCAACCAATTGGAATCCCTGATACTCCTAGTTATTCCCTGTTTCATTCAGGCAGAAATCCTATAGCCCCCTCTTCTGCCCTGAATTCCACTCCTTGGACCGTTGATTCAAGATCCCCTACGTCCCGAACCATGTGACTAGCCAGAATATATATTTCATTCTTATATTCATTGTTATGATAATGAAAAAATTCAGACAGTTGATTGAAAAATTTGTTCTATTGTTGGCAAGGGTCTCATTAAATTATACAAGAGTATAGAACTTAAACGTGTCCTCTATGTTCCTAAATTTGCTTGCAATTGTTTATTGCTAGCAAGTTTTACAAAAATTATAATTGTTCAATTACTTTCTTTGAATCTCAATGTTTTTCACTTTTTTCATGCCAATAACTAAGGTATAATGATTGACAATGCTAGTCTGAGAAAGAAACTTCTCACAATCCATTTTTCATGACAGAACTAAAAATGTTTAAGCTGACAAGCACTTTATTAAAAAGAAATATTTTATGGTACAATAACCATGTTCCCAATTAAAAGCCTCTCTTTTCCTATAAAGTTATAGTCTTTGTGAACATTGAACACCACTACAAAATAGAAATTATTCCTGAGTTAGTGTACCCCTCTGCATTCTAGGTTTTTATACTTTTAGCTACATTTTCAAAATAAACTAAACTTGAAAGGTCATTAACAAAACTTAAGCACAGGTAGACATTGGTCTAGAGGAATTAAGATTGAAATTTGATTTTTGAAGTAATTCATTGTCTTTCCAGACTACACATTTTGGTCTTTTCAAGATTGTCAAATATCAAAATTAGCATTGTAGGCCTCTTTTCTTTTGGAAGCAGGTATGAATAGGAATTTATTGAAGAAACACCAGGGAAATCCACTCCTTTATAATTTTAGAACTCTACTATTCTTCTCATTACCTAGTACCTACTCCATCCATCAAATCCACTCTTCTGTTTCTTAATTACACAGAAACTCAATAAGGGTTCTACCATTGGCATTATCAAACCAAATAACCACACACACACAAAACGTAGAGTAGCACCACAAAATAATATTAATAAACTCACAAGTAATAGAGAAGTAACAACACTCAAATTTTTTTTATAATATCAGTCAATTACTAATAAGAATAATATTAGTCAGTATCCATTTCAATAGACAACCACACATACTAAGCTACCATTTTTTTTTTATTCCATACAACATTTGGTATCTCTCCCCAAGACTAATTCAGGTTTGGCTTGATCTGGGTCACGTTTGCAAATAGTAGTTAACTATTTGTTGTATGCATAAGAATTTTAAGACTTTTATTACAAGATTGTGCAATGGGTTAGTAATTAACTATTTTAGAAGCTGGGTGACAACAAATAAGAATTTTAACATCCAAGTGAAGAAATGATGCCTGAGTTAGGGCTCATGAATATAGTTGCTAAATATACATAAGCAAACCACTAATATATAGCGCATGCATACATGTACCAAACAGAACTAAATAACAAAACATTGAAATTATTAAATCCCAATAGCATACCCACAGAACCCAATCATCAATTACGCATAGGCACCCCACAGATATACGTTGTAGGCAAATATACACTGAACAGAATACCAGGCAACAACATAAAATGTTTAAAACCCTAACTCAGAAATTATGCTGTAATTTGAGCCATATGAACCCAATCAAAAATTATAAACAGAATACCGGGCAATAAAAAAAAAATTGAAAACCCTAACGCAAAAACGAAACCCTAATTCGAGCCACATGAATACATACATACAAGGACCAATAATTGGTATATGAAACCTGGAAAACACAGCGTAGCGTATGCGGACATACATACCACATGCTTCCTTTGTATTTCAAAGTATAAGGCCCGCTCTCGAGGGCCCGATCGAAATGGGAGTGCACTTTGTGCTTCCCTTTCCCGCTCTGATCCATCAAGGTGAGCTCAAACAAGGCCCTGACGTCGGTGCCTTCGCTGGCGAGCGCGATGAAAACGGAAACGTAGATGGAGGAATCCTCGACGTTCTTGCCGTCGGGGTAAAAGTAGACGGCCCAATCGTAGCCGCCGACGGAGAAGGTATCGCTGGAGATGTACTTGCCAGGACCCATGCCCTTGGCCAGAGAGTAACCCCGGATGGTGAATTTGTGGGAGGCATTCACCGTCTCGTTGATCGACCTCGAGCAGGAGTCCTGGTGATTCACGGCCATATCATCGGCCGGAAATCCAGACAGAAGGGAAACCGCAGACGATAGAATTAGGAGAATTGGAGGAAGAAGCAGTAGTGGTAGGGGGGGAATGGGGGCGGGCGAAGGGTTTGTATGTCGGAGGAGAAACGAGAGGAGGAGAAAAGTGGTGGTGGTGGTGGTGGCGGCGGCGATTGGCGAAGGAGAGCAACGGTGAGCGGTGATTGGATGTAATTAATTTGGGATGTTGGGGGCATAGTTTTATTTTATGTGAACCCCATTTCCTTATTTTTTTTTTTTTTTTTTTTTTTTGTTTGTTTGTTTGTTTTTTTTTTTTTTTTTTTAATTGGTTTAATGGAAGGAAGGAAGATTTTGTTTTTTTTTTTTTTTTTTGTCAAACATCTAACCATGTCCATGTGCCAATTTCATTGTATAATGTTAGAATGTGTTATATACTACAAAAGCTTTTTATTGAGTAATATTAGATGATGATGATGGATACATGGAGATTGATCCAAGAAGAGAGATCTAAAATATATGTAGTTTATCGGAAAGAGTAGGGAATGTCTGAACAAGGTACGAAGGACTAAGCACAATAAGGTTAAAGAACACGGCTCGAGCAAAAGGGATGGAGGCCTTCTGCAGTCATTGGCGCCCTCAGAGTTAGTCTCCGTGTCTAGGATCAAGGGTAGATCTACATTGGGGTAGTGGGGCAGTTGCGCCTACCCCTACCTCCATCCCCTTTATATATATTGTATGTATAGTTAGTTCTTTTATGTATATATACATAGTACACAAAGGGTGAGCTAGCTTAGATGCATGGTAAGATATATTGCTTTCATCTCAAACATTACACAGGCTGTTTGTTTTTATGTAATTTCGTTGTAGTTGAATTGAAATTCAGTGAAGCTTTAAATTACAGGCTCTGTTTGGCAAACCTAGCTGAAAAGCTATAAGCTAGGAGCTGAAAGCTGAAAAGCTATAAGTTCGGAGCTGAAAACTGAAGAGCCGTTAAGGTAGCTGTTATGATTGAAAGTGTTTGGTAAAATTAGCTTTTTGATAAGCTGATAAAGGTAAAAAAAGACTAAAAATGACATCTTCATAAAATTTAAATTAGTTTGTTTACATATTAAAATTTAACATTTTGTCTTTAAAAAAAAATTAACATTTTGAAAATAAAACTATTAGCATAATCATGATCTAGCATCTCATAATGAAGTAGCAATATTGTTGCAAATCTTATAATAATAATAATAATAATAATAATAATAATAATAATAATAATAATAATAATAATAATAATAATAATAATTGCGGTGAAAGTTGCGGATAAAAGAGAAGAGAAAAGGGTTTCAATTGGGAAGGGTAAACTATGTCATTTCTTTAAGATAATAAGGATAAAGATGGAAAAAAAAGTTAGGAAGCTAGGAGATTATTTTGAAACGCTACCTAAGATAGCGTTCCAAAATAAGCTCTTATTTTAAGCTAGGGGCTTATTTTGGGAACATTAACAAACAGAACTTATAACTTATTAGTAGCTTAAAATAAGCTATAAGCTCCTAAATAAGCTCTGACAAACAGAGCCACATTGTTGGTTGGAGGGAATTGCAATTTCCTCCTTTTGTTGAATTGCAATTCACGAGGTACCCCCATGAATTGCAATTCAATGAATTTGAGAAAGAAAAACTTGATCAAATGATATCACTAGGGGCGTCAATGCGAGCCGGCCCGCCCCACCGCGGGCTTTTGCGGGTCGACCCGCGGGCTTGAAACTATATAGCCCAATCCTGCCCCATGCAGGCTTGTGGGTCTCGCGGGCTGGCCCGCGGGCCATCGCTTAAATTTTTTTTAAAAAAATTAAATAGTATATAAACATGTTAAAACCGCTTGAAATATGACACTATTTATTGATCGTTATTTCGCATCCTCACGGTGTATGATACACTTCAATGCACCGAAAACTTCCATAAAATTCATAAATCTCGCCCAAATCTCTCGGATCGATACCGTGCGTTGAGCAGAACTGTAGAAGGGTGATCAATGAATTTGTTTATTTAAATTGGTAATTTAAAGTATATAAATGCAAGATAATATATGAGATATTGATTATATTGTTACTAAAATAAATGTTTGCAACTTTGTAATAACGCTAGTCTAAATAAATAATATTTTTTGTTTAAATTTTTCTATTTTTTTTTTTTTTTTGTAGCATTGTCATTGTCTTCATCTTCAATACATGTCTATCCTTTCTTTCTCTTATTTATTTATTTATTTGTAGTGTGCCATGTGCAATTGGGTTACTGGTGGTAGCATAGATAGATTCATCGTGCAATGAGATTATGGTGTAGGAAGCTTTAGATTTGCCTTGTTGGGTATATGATGGGATTTTAGTTATACTATTAACTCTTTATCTTACAAGCACCTATTGATATTTGGTAGTGGTAGTTTTTCCCCTACATGTTTCATGCATTGTGAGACGTGTGTCGTAGGTTATCATGTGAAAGTATTGAACAAATTAAAATATTAATATTTATTATATTTGTATAAAATACTTGGTAAATAAATATATATAACATATTTTGTATTATAACTTTGATATTTAATTACAAGATAATGTAAAAAGAAGACAATGGACAATGTAGTGAATATAATAAATTAATAAATTTGAAGGTAATGAATCTTTGAATTGTAAAAAATAAATATAATATAACTAATAAAATTATATATCTTTTTAAATTTTACCAGGACTATGTGGTCTAATGGTACCTGGGTTGGAATTCCATTTGGAAGATTGTGAGTTCAAGTTTTAGTGGAGGTGTTATTGGCTCTTTGTGTTTCAGTAGGATGCTACATTGTAGTAGTGCTAGTAGCATTCAAAAAAAAATATATCTTTTTAAATTTTTTATAGTGAATATTTTTTTTTTAAATAAAGACATTATAGACATCTAATTCTAAATTAATTAAATGCATATGTATTATTTTTTGTTGTAGCTACTAATTTATTTCTATCTACAATCTACATCTACATCTACAAATCTGCATCTATACAATACATACATACATATACAATACGAATCTAATAAGAGTCAATAATATTAGGCCCTTAATTGGAACAAAAAAATGTCGGTATAATTATTTTTTGAAATAATGGTTCATATTATTTTAATTTTAGCATTTTTTTTATGATTTTCCTTATTTACCCTCTATTATATTATTGTTTTCCCTTAAATAACATTGGATTCCGTTAGTATAAACTTTAGTAACGGAATATTCCGTTAACTATCTATTATTCTTAACTTACTCATTAGTTTCTATAAAAAAAAAAAGTTCTTACGAACCCATCCCAATCAGAGTTGGCATAATTGTTGTTTTTTTTTTTGGTAGAGAGTTGGCATAATTGTTAAATATATACTACGAATATGTTAAAATATACGGAGTATTAAAAAAATAAATACAATATAAAATTTAACATAAACTTTGGTCAAATAATTAGCCTGACTGAATACAAAACATTCAAAGTTGAGCATCAAAGATTATAAATCATGAACTTTGAAAATCAATTTCTTGCATTTCAAAAAAAAAAAAAACAAATTTAAGTTAAGTTTTTTTTTTTTTTTTTTCCGTTTAATTAATCTTCATTTGATTATTTAGAACAAAACTCAGTATTTCAATTATCCTTTTTGCATTATTAGAATGATTTAGGTCATTATGATATTAATATTTTTTTGTATGTCTTTTACATTACTTTATAAATATTATATTATTATTTTCTTTATCGGACAAAATTGTTCTTACATCATTGTCAGACCTGCCCGACCTAATTACAAAATTGTTGATCAGAAATACAATTACACATGGACTCTAAAACGATAAGATAATTTTTCAAAGAATTGACAATGTTACATCCCACTAGCTCAAACTAAACAAATTTACACATCATTCTTAAAATTTCATCAATGTATGAAAGCTTTTAAAAAAATTTGTAAGTTAATTTATATTATATCATTATAATAATATCTATTGTAACAATATATTTTGAATTATTTATTATTATCATCTATTGACAAATTCCCAAAACAAATTGTCTTTACAACGAATATAAATTAAAAAAAAAAATCAATGACTTTAATGTTGTCAATGAAAATTATGTACGCCACTTTATTACTCTTATTAAATTAAATAAATTGGTAGCTACAACAAAAAATAATACATATGTTTTTAATTAATTTATAATTAGATGTCTATAATGTCATTATTAAAAAAAAATGTATTCATTATAAAAAATTTAAAAAGAGATATAATTCCATTAGTTATATTATATTTATTTTCTACAACCTTCAAAACAAATATTTATTTTCTACAGTTCAAAGATTCCTTAACATCAATTCAAATTCATTAATTATCTTCACTACATTGCCTATTGTCTTCTTTTTACATTATCTTGTAATTAAATATCAATGTCTTTTCAATAAAAAAAAAGAGAGGACATGACATGTACTGAAGATGAAGACAATGATAATCCTACCCAAAAGAGAATTAAGAAAGACTTAGAGAAATTTAAACCAAAAGTAGTATTTATTTAGACTATCGCTTTTATACTAAGTATTTAGACTATCGTTATTACAAAGTTACAAACATTTATTTTAGTGACAATTACAATCATTCTCTCATATATTATCTTGCATTTGTATGCTTTAAACAAATTCAACATTCACTTACCTATGCAAGAACATCTCCTATATAATATCGCATTGATATACTTTGAAGTACATATTTAAAATTAATTATTGGGCATTATCCTATTCGCGCAATGCGCGTAAAAAAAAAACTAGTAATTTAATAAGAGTAATAAAGTGACGTACATACTTTTCATCAACAATAATGAAATCATTGATTTTTTTTTTTTTAAAATTTACATTCGTTGTTGAGACAAATTGTTTTGAGAGTTTGTTCATGACAATTGTTACAATTTCTGTCAATAGAGGATGGTAATAAATAATTCAAAATATATAGTTACAATAGATATTGTTATAATGATATAGTAAAAATTAACTTACAAATTTCTTTAGAAGTTTTCATGCATTGATAAAATTCTTATGTGTAAACTTGTTCAATTGAAGCCAGTGGGATGTCAACATTGTCAATTCTTTAGAAAATGGTCCTACCGTTTTAGAGTCCAGGTGTAATTATATTTATGATCAACAACTTTGTAGTTATGTCGCGCAGGTCTGACAATGATGTAAGAACAACAATTTTGTCCGATAAAAAAAATAATAG